CCCAAAGTCACAATCTCATCACTAGGTCTATTGCTACCAAAATTACACTCCATATATTCAGTTTTAGATCAACTCAAACGAAAACCTTTAGACTCTAAAGTTGACCTCCATAATTTGAGTTTACCTTCAACTCACTCTCTAGTCTTATCAATAAGAAGAATATCATCAGCACAAACTCATAGGCTTATTTAGATGGCTTTCTTACTATTTTTTTTAAAAAAGCTTTATAGTTTAAAATTTTCTCGTTCAAAATTAGTATTAAGAAACCATTTTAAAAAGTAATAAGAAAGTTGTCTCAAATAAGACTTTAATGATTTCTTTGGTTGATGATCTTATGAAACTAAAAGTCTATTTTGAATTTTTTTTTTTGATGCTTCGCTTTTTAAATTGTAATCCAATTTTTATTTGATTATTATTTTCTTTTTGCTATAAATAAGTTTTTGTATTAGAAAAATATTTTTACAGCAATCTTTAAATAAGCTAATTTCTCTATAATAATTTTATAATCACTTTTATAAAGCACTATAATTATCCCAAACAACCAAATCCTTTGATATTTCATGAAACACATTGGCCTGTGAGGAATTGGAAGGTTTAGCGCATTTAAAGATAATTTTTCTGAGAAAGTCTACTATTTCCTGTTTAGATCTAACTTAAGCAAGAAAGTGTCTCATTATGCCTTTCAGATAATAATTACTATTATTTTTCTACCCAAAATAATAATAATAAAAAAAGAAGTTTCCATTCAACCTATAACTATATATTACATTTAAATCAAATATTCTTCTAAATTATATTTAATTTAGGATTCTTTGTGAACAGTTTAAGGCTTTTTCGTATGAGCATAGCTGATTTGAAACTAATATGATTAATTCTACAATTCGGTGAGTATGCTATTGTTAATAACATGAAATATAAAATGTGATTATGTGCTTCTATACAAATATAATTATATTATAAAAAATTAAGATAGTAAATTAATAAAAAAAATTCATTTGATTATAATTAAAGTTGAGATATTTTATAAATATTTTAATGCTGTATATTTTATATTAATTATTATTTTAAAATAATAAAACTTTACAAAGCTATACGAGTAGCTCAAGTTTGAACTCTGTTTAGCTCATGAAAGCTCCAATTCGGGGCCATTTACCAAGTCAAGCCTCAACGTTCACACCTTCGATTTCAAGCATAAATTATTTTTTATTGATTTATTTTTCTACCAATAACTAAAAAAAATTTCCCAAAAACATGCAAATTTTGTGATTTATTGGGCTTCGTTTGAGATAGCTTTCTGCTGCTTTCTAATATAAAAATTTTTATATTAAAAAATTGCTTTAAAAAACAATAAGAAAACCGTTCCAAATGAAGCTTTAGATACTTATGCAAACAATTTTTTTATAAAACCTTAGAAATATGTAATATTTAATTTTCCTAATTAGTTGTGATGAAATCTTTAATAAACTGAGACTGAAATATTCACATTGAAATTAATTATATACAGATGTACTTCCTATCAAAAACACTTGCTGAGAAGGCTGCTTGGGAGTTTGTCAAAGATAATCACATTCATTTTATAACCATCATTCCAACTTTGGTGGTGGGGTCCTTCATAACATCTGAAATGCCACCAAGCATGATCACTGCATTATCATTAATTACAGGTAAAATTATTTCTCCTTTTTATTTGGAGAGCCTCCAATCTCCTAAAATTTTCTCTTTGGACTACAATTGAAAACAATATTAATATATATGATCGAGGTTTCGTTTTGGAAGACTTTCTTACTTTTTTGTAAAGTCGCTTTTTAGTTTTAAGTATAAAAATATCTTGAAAATAGGTGAAAACCTGTGGTTTAAAGCTGTCATAAATGAGAGAAATTATTACGTGCGGTCATGATGCAACAAATCACCCCGATATGTAGCAAAAAGTGATGTGGCGCGTCCTGATACGCCTCTGAATGGCGTCCTGTGACCGCACTTAATAATTTCTCCCTAAACAAAGCTTGAGATTTTAGTTCGAAAATTAATTGAATCAATATTTCGCTCTAGCCAAACGAGTGGAGGCATGAGCCAAATTTTTGACTCAGTTCAATCTTCGAGCTAATTTTTAGATGCGCTTGGAGTAGAATGAGCCAATCGAAAATCGGCTTAAAATGTACATAACATGTATATTTTTAAAATTTAATTGATGTGCATGTCTGTATGTTAAATATCTTAAAAATAAAAATATTAATAACTTCAAGCTGGCTTATTATTAATCTATTAATATAATTTTGAGTTCTTCATAGTGAAGTTTTCTTAAGAAATTATTGTGACTCAATATATACTTATAAGCATATTTTAAAAAAATCAAATTAATTAGAGCTATATTCAAACATTTGAACCTTTTAGATTTATTTATTAAAAATTGTAATTATAGATCTCATGATTAAAATATTTGATATTAAAATAATTATTCAACAGCATTATTATGAAAAGTAATTCAAAATGTTTGAATAATTAAGTAATATAATTTTAACCCAAATTTTTTAATTTAAATAACTGTTTGCAGGAGAGAAAAATTTAGCAAAACAAAATTATTATTCAAATTTTTAAAGATAAATTATCATTATAGCTTAAAAGTTTTGTTATATTCTAAGAGTTTTTTTGCAAGACTTTGAGTACATAAATCATAAATTCACATATATCGCATATGCTAAACTTCAAACATAAGGACTCTTGGTATGGAGCTAATCAACATATCGAGATGAATTGCGTATAAAGTTTAAGAGTAAAGTAACAAAAATAAATAGCAAAAAAAAAAAAGGAAAAAATGAATAAGCAAATGACGCTTTATTCGGGACGACTTTCTCATTGCTTTTTAAAGCAGCTTTTTCGTACAAATATTAAAATTTTTGTACTAAAAAATTCTTTTAAGAAGCAGTAAGAAAGCCAACACAAACAAAGCCTGAATGTCAAAAATTCTAATATTCTCATTGTTTTTATGTTTTTCAAATTGTGATAGGAAATGATGCCCATTACTCCATTTTAAAGCAAATTCAATTTGTTCATTTGGATGACTTATGTGATGCTCACATTTTCCTTTTTGAGCATCCCGAAGCAAATGGTAGATACATTTGCTCTTCCTATGACTCCACAATCTATGGCTTAGCAGAAATGCTGAAGAACAGATATCCCACATATGCCATTCCTCAGAAGTAAGCACTTAACAAAATTTTGTTTATTAATAAAATAATGAAATGATTTGAAGCTAAAATCTGTTAAAATGTAATTATCTTACAGGTTTAAGGAAATTGATCCAGATATTAAGTGCGTAAGCTTCTCTTCAAAGAAGTTGATGGAGCTTGGGTTTAAGTACAAATACACCATGGAGGAGATGTTTGATGATGCAATCAAGACCTGCAGGGAGAAGAAGCTTATACCACTCAACACTGAGGAAATAGTCTTAGCTGCTGAGAAATTTGAGGAGAATAAAGAACAGATTGCTGTTAAGTGAGAAAAATGAATGAGAGAGGAGAAGTTTGAAATTCTTATCGTCGTCGTTTTAGGCTTTGGTTGGAGTGACTTTTTGCTGCTTCTTAAAACAATTTTTTAGTATAAAATTTTTAATTTTTTACTAAAAAATTGCTTTAAGAAGCAGTAAGAAAACCGTCCCAAATGAGACCTTACTTTACTTTGTACTGTCCTACTGATTTTCTACGTACCTTAGATTGTCATTGAGTTTATACTTGCCATGAGAATTGCAGCTTCGCAGACCCATCATAAAGTTTTATCATAATAAACTCTTCCCTCATTTAAGATGTTTTTCTTCTCGCCTTCTTTGCATAAGTTTTATCAAGTTGTTCTCATAATCCCTTCATTCAACTTTTAAATTTATGACATCCACATTCTCATCTATTAATGCTGAGCTTGATGATGATTTGATGCTAAATTAACTCTCTCAAATTGGTAATTAAAGGGTTTTCTTATTGGCTATATGGAATTAAAATATTATTACAATGAACTAAAATACATACATTCAATATTAGAAATTAAAAATACTTTGCTGGATTATTTGAGAATAGTAGGGGTGTTAAAATGGGTTTTTGGATTGAGTGCATGTCCAACCTAAAATTGACCTACCTTCAAACCCTTGACCCAATTTACAAAACAGGCTGATCCCCATACCCGAACTCGACCAAGGTCTGATTCGAGTCGACCTGACCCGTAAGGCAATGAGGCGCACACTGGTGCACAGGCGCGAGCTTGTGCATGTAATAGCCCATATTTTGACTCAGACAAATAATTTTTTCAGGTGTCATAAGCCCGAATCATAAACCGTCTTCGTCATAATATAGATATTATTGTGTTTTGATTATAATAAATTTTATCATAATTTTTAGGCATTGGTGCAAATTTTTAAGAAATTAACATATGTTAGAACGAGTGATGGTGTTACAAAGTGGTGTCAGAATAATAGTTAATGGAAGAATTTGCTTGTAACTAGAGTTACATTAATGTTGCATTATTTATTGATTTATAGATTTGTTTTAAACAAATATTTTCTATTGGTGTTTTGAATGATTCATTTGAATTTAAGTTTTTTTTTTTTTTTTTAATTTTATTGATCAGGCAAATGGACCAAGAAGAAAAAGGAAAGAAATCTGAATCTGACACTAAAGAATTTGTAGTGACTTCGAAGAATATGAAAATGTTTGTTGATATGATTGCTCAAATAATGAGTGATAGATTAATGAAATAGTTTAGTCAAAGCTTTAAGAAAAAGGGTGCTCAAGTAATGAGTGATAGATTAATGAAATAGCTTAGTCAAAGCTTTAAGAAAAAGGGTGAAAGTAGTATAACAAGGATTGGGAAGACTGTTAAAGCACCTACAACTCTGTAGTGCTTTAGGTGTGATAGGAGACATATACGACCCTATTATAGGGTGATCGAGCAATAGTTTAGGTGTGGTGATTATGGGCATAGGATGACAGACTGCCCATACCCAAGACATGGACAGGATATGTCACGACCCGACCCGATTCGGGACGGATCCCGCTCGCACCGGGCCGCGACAAAATCTTTTATCCAGGATCTGGCTTT